ATATATATATATATAAATATATATATATATATATATACATTTTTAATATACAATAGAGATCAAAATTAGAGAACAATAAATAAATACTTCATTTTTTTTCTAAAATATTGTTAATCATCATCGCTCAAAATTTGAAGTAATATTAGCTTGTAGGTATACCACTGGTTTTACTCATATGTTTTACAAAATAACCAATGCATTTCAACAAAAACCTTTATTTTGTGGAAAACACAGTGATCAAACTTAGAGATCAGTAACCACTGAAGGATGAAAGAAGATTACAACTACAATTTTGGAGGGTTACAGCTGTCAGAAATGAGTAGGAAGTGTAAAGGCCCCTGCACAAATGCAGACATGGTTTTATGTTTACGCGGTGCTATGCAAAGCAACGCGTAAAAAGACAGTATAAGTCATTATAATCCATAATTATCTCCCCACTGGATGCAACGAATGCCTCGTTTATAGTGGGTTTTCATGTTTTTGAATCATCGCTCCGGCCTGACAGGGCATCATCACAATATGGTAAGGGACGTAACATTTCCGTCTCACGCTTGAGGTATTCGGCCAATCACAACACACCTCGCTTTTTCAGACCGATGAGCTTTATAAAAATCGACGCGTTTCAGAAAGGCAGGGCATAGAGGAGAAACAATAATGTACAGTATGTGGAAAATGTGTTTTTTGAACAACCTTAAACTGCATAAACACATTTCATTTAAAATACAGTAAAAACAGTACTATTGTGAAATATTAAGCATTTCTGATGAGTATTTAGATTACAAAATAACATGTAAAATGTGATGTGGTGCATTCTTGTCTTATATATATACAGTAAATTTACTATTTTATATATATATATATATAAATATTGAACCTTAAACCGCATAAACACATTTCATTACACCAAATACACAAAATAATGTTCTGTTTAGCAGCATCATATGACCCCTTTAAATAAGAGGATGAAGTAACACCTAGCATTAAAATTATGGGAAATTTCCCTCAAGCATCTCTTGCATCACCCCTCAAGCTTTTTTAGGTTACAAAATAATAACATGTCAAATGTAATATGCTGCATTCTTGTCTCTTGACTTTATTAAGTGCATTGAAGTGTCTCCAGTTATAATATTGGAAATAAATACAGTTATTTTATAATTTAAAACTTTAGTTTTTTCTGTAAAAAAAAGTGTTTACTTAAAAAAATATACACACACACACACACTTGAATATACAATTTAATATAAAAATGACATTTAATTGTATATTATGTATGTATATGCATATAAATATACATTATGAAAATACACACACATACTGTATATACATGTGTGTATGTATACTTTGCATAGTATACAGTACATATAATTATAAGTAGTATGATAGTAGTGTAGTTTGAAAGAAAATGACAAACAGAGAAAGACATATGAGATAAAAGAAACCATCAATAGAGGAGGGTGAGATGCTGGGAGGATAAAGAGACAGACAGAGATGAGAGCAATGGAGGAAAATCAGGCTGCTTTACTAGTCTGCTGGTGGTTGTAACATGGTCCGCGTGGCACGATGATGTTGGGTCTATTTAAAGCAGCAGTTCATCCAGCGTGTCAAACACTGATCTATAATCCCACAGCAGTCACAGGGCTGCTTAAGATCCGATTTCTACATCTAATGCCGCCTGCGCTCTGTCATACAGACCCCGAGGGATCCATCTGTAACCCCTGAACTGGCAGCGCTGCTTTCTGACTCCAGCTAATGCCCAGATGATGAGATGGTTTCCAGCATGGACATTTCTCATCCCTTTGTCTTTCAATTAAACTCTGGGCACAGTTGGGCTTAACAAAATATGTATACTACCGGTCAAAAGTTTGGAATAATAAATTTTTTTATGTTGTTGAAAGGAGTCTCTTATGCTTATCATTTTTTCAGTTTTTTAAATTTATTTCAGATATATATTCTGTATGAAATATATATATATTTATATTTTGTATTTGATATATTATTTTGATAGAAATTTTATATCTATATATGATATCAATCTGTAAATATTTAATATTTAAAAAATATATGGAAAGTAAGTTGGACTTTATTTTAATGTGTGTATATATAATTTGTCTATATTGTATGTAAAATATATTTAGATTTTTTATTTATGTATAATATAGGGCATTTTAATGAAATATTTATATTTTTAATTTTATATTTTTTACAAAATATACAACTGAAAAGTAAATCTAAAGAAAGGTATTTTTCCCATTTTAGCATCCTATTCTCCAATGCACCCAAGCTTTTTTCCTACCGTGATTTATTTTCCTCTTACGTCTTGCTTTTCCTCAGCAGTTTGTGTCTGACTAGTTTATTTTGGCTTTTTTGTTCCTCTAGGGCACCATTTCCCTACCTGGCAACAGAGTCACCGAACATCCCAGCAATGGGGAGGAAGGCGGAAAGTTCCTATTTGAAGTCATCCCAGGTAAGGAGAAAGCCGTTTTTTTTTTTTTTTACCATGTCTGTTTTTCCAATGCAGAGTTCCTTTAGCTTTCATGATGGGACCGCAGTGACCTCACTCACTGAGGAGAGGTCTTCAAAGACTTTCATCCCCGCTAATGAGAACAGATAGAAGCTGGGCACTTCGCTGACAAACACAGCTGAATCCTGACGCTCCAGACACAACACATCACAGGAAATCTGTCGTTTCAGTGGAACGGTCTCTTGCATTTGTAAACAATGCTCATTTCTAAATCTTCTAGGCATCTTGTCATGTAACCCAACCAATATGTTTTCAAATGGATCCCTCTTTATACACGTTTGTGGGTAATTTGTTCTCTTCCAAATGTAGTTTAGTGATGAATGACGCTGGATCTGCCACCTGCTGTAATTAGCTTACAGATCACACTCTTCTCTCGCTCTCTTCGGGCTCTGGTTGTGTTTGGAGAGGGTTCAGATAAAACGCAGATGTCCCTCTCATGCGGTGGATGATGAATCACTAAGGATAGATGAGTGCTTGAGGAGCAACAGAACAGCAACTGAACTCCTGTTCAGTTCTGGGGAACACTCTGATAACATACACACCTGAGCTTCAAGCTAAATAAATGACTGAATCAAATAACAGACACACCTAACAGCTGGAACTGTGGTACCACACACTCACACTATATCAACATGTTATATTGGGGCTACAAACAACACTCACAAACTGGTTTGGATCAGTTTGCCAAATCATATATATATATGAGCAATATCACTCGAGTACGAGAGCGATACCGGCTCTATAACAGCATGGCTGTGATTAGGCCAGAGGCACGAGGCCGCAGGCAAACACAGCCGC